TATTTTTAAAGTTTTATCATAATTTTTTTTAGAGATTAAATCATGAAATCTTTGTATTTCTTTTGTGACTTCTTTTAAATTTATTTTGATAGGATAAAGTTTGATTGAATTTATTAGAAATTATTTGAAGTTTATTTAAGTCTCTATTAGACTTAGTAAAATTGTTGTATTTTTACTTATCTTCCATATCTAGGTACTTGGTGTATTTTCAAGCAAGAACACATATAATACAATACTATAGACACATGTCTAATATTTCTTCTATTTTACAAACTAAAGAACAACATGAATTATTCATTGATTTTTTTCCACAAAATACACAACTTTGATTCAAATCCAACCAATCTTACTCTTAATACAATCAAAGCTATGAAAAGATTTTATAAAATCTATAATACCATTGTGATAGAATCCAGTAGACAAGGCTTATCCCTTAGAATTGATAATGGTTAGTTTTTGAAAGTGACCAAGGTCACGCCATTTAGACTATAGTAACAACTATTGTTCAAATTCCTTGATATTAACTACTCTTTTTGGAAATAAAATCCATTCAAGGCCACAAGTATCTAACAAATCAATGTCCAATCCAACATAAGCACTATCCAAATAAACTACTCTTTTTATTATTTTTTTTTTGTATTCCCTCAAAAACTCTAAATTATTTTATTCTACAAGCTTTTTGAGTACAAATTATGAAATAAATATAATACATTAATACTATCACCAAGAAAATTGACCTTGAACAAAGGAATTGAGGTTTGCAAACACCAAAGTTTAGAATTAGGCACTTAAAAGAGTTAAATTGAAATTAGGATTTAGGATTTAATTGGGCATGAACTTTTAAGTCTCTAAGTATTTATAAGTACTTTGATGTATTGTATTAGTTCATGTTGTGTATTTCCAGCCTTATATAAATTATTGTATCTTGTACCTTCTCAAGTGGGAATTATTTTAAACAACAAATTTTCTGTAAATTTTGAGATCAAATCTTATCCATACTTCTTTTTTTGATTATTCTTACTAGAACTTATAATCAAAAAAATATGGGTTTATTTTCTTATATAAGATATGAGAAGTATTTACACTTAAAAGTCCAATATGAAAGAACAGGATTTAAAAGTCTTATAAAGATCTCTTGTATTATAAAAAAAAATCTTTCTTTGAAGATATTAGCTTTTAGATATAATTTGTAATGAGAAGATACCATATAATAAACTAAATCGTTTTTTTATTATAAGTCTAAATATATCATCTTATATCTTAATTCAAATAATTATAAAAAAAAATTAATTAAATATTTTTTTTAAAAAAAACCTCATTATTTTTTAAAAAGATTACTTCTTGAGATAGATCCAACAAAGATTCTAAGAAACAAAACTATTCATACCATGTAAAAAATCAAAAAAAATCAAAAAATAAAAAATATATCCTTCTTTTTCTTCTTAAAATTCTATGACAAGCTTTTCTATGTATAAATCCAATTAAAGAAGGCATCTCACTTTCAACCAATCAAAGAATTTAAGAATTGTGGCCTCTCACCTTATCCTTTTGGTCTAAAATCCATCAAGAAATTTTGTACATAATAATTTCAAAAAAATAATGAATCTTATATTAAAATTTTAGTGTAATAAAACTTTTAAAATCTTTAGTATACTTAAAATTAAAAAATATATAAAATAAAACAATTTTTGAAAATACTCTTGCTTGAAATGATCATGCAAAAACTATAGCTAATGATGGTTATTGAATGTCCTAGCAATTCCATTAAAAATTCCACACTACAATGGACCATGAGATTTTTAAAAATCCATTGCTTTATTAATATGTGGAAAATTAAACTAAAAAACAAAATATATATCTAAAATTAAAAAAACACTAGTGCAAGGGCTTGTTCTTTAAATGTAATAATTATTAGATATATGAAAAAAGTTTGTTAAATTATATTGATAATTTTCAACCACTTGTAATCAGATAAATGATGTGTATTATAGTAAGAGCAGCAATTGTATTTTTTTTTTTTTAAATATTATATCAAAGGAAATGGATTGAGGTTAGTATTTTCTTTCTTTCTTTACAGGAATCATACACATAAATCATTATCAACATGTTACTTAGATGATTTAATATTTTATGAAATATAGCAATGATAATAAGTATTATTATTATTATTATTATTATTATTTGTACTACTATAAGTAATAATACTTGAATACGGATTATTGAAAATAAAAAACTTTACACATACATACTAATAAAAGATACAAAATTAAGATGTTAAATTATAACATATATTTAAAGGAAATAATAAAATACAAGATACTATATCTATCTACTTGTGTGATGTATTTGTAAAATTTTGTTAAAATTTAAGAAAATTTCGATTTATATTTTAGCAGCATAAGAATATATATATATATATATATATATATACCATCAATTCAAATTTATAATCATATCAAAGAAATTTCATTTTCAAAAAACAAAAATAGAATGCACACGTTTTATTTTTTGATGATATATGTGAATCTATTACATATGATTTTATTATCTTTTCTGCATGATATTTACATGTGTATATATATATATATATATATATATTTATATTTATATATTTATAATATTACACTAGAGTCTCCTTAAAATTACATTTGGATTGTATGTTTTAATTATATTAATTTTTATTGTTCAATTCTCTTGGATACATGTTATTTTACTTTATCTAAGTTTGTTAAAAATATTAAATTATTATTACATAAAAATTTGTGCTATTTGGGTATTTCTAAGTAAATTATGTTCAATTTAAAATTAACCAACTTAAGTTAAGATGACTTTAACTTGGCACAATCATTTTTACTAGAACATAAAAAAATAAAAGTAAAAAGTTTTTGCAAATATAACATTATACTATTTGTAGTTGTGCATTATTATTATCCTTGTATATAAATAGTTAGAAATACTATAAATCTTAAAAAAAATTAAAAAATAAATGAATATATATATATTTCAAAATATTTAATTAAAAATCTTCTTTTTCTTTTTTTTTTTTAAATATGTTGATGTATAGCTACAAGATTTATGAAACTTTTATCCTTACATCTAAGAACTACCATTTTTTTCAGATGAATCCTACTGTAAGATAGGTTTTAGTTTTTAAATAACAATTATACTTTTGATTTTTACAAATTTTGCTCTATTATTTATTTATTAAGAGAAGAAAAGAAGAAATCTTTCTTGGCAGCATTCTTTAAAATGGGTAATTTAAAAAAAATAGCATATATATATATATATATATATATATATATATAAAGGCAGTATTATTCTAAACTAGTCAATATTTTTATCCAAACAGATATGAAACACTCTTGTAAATGTATATTGCAAGTATTCAAAAATCTACATCAAAAACATATTAAGTTTTCCATACTTTCTATATCACCCCAATAAATTTAGAAGCATGTTGTTTAGAAGCATGAATTTTTTGTCCTCATTCTCGAGTAAGAAATATATTTGTTTGGTGTCCTCACTTATAAGTTGCATTGTTTTGCATGAAATTAATTGCACAAAAGAATAGTGATTTATTGAACTCACAATCCTAAATGGATAAAAGAAAATCATGTAATGAATGTTGTAGTTTGATGCATAAAAAATAAGTTGAAATCGTAAAACCTTTACAAGTAAACATTAAAGCCCAGAAGCATTTCAAAAGCATAGAACAACTTTATCTTCAGGTAACATAAGAGGATTTTACATTTTCTATAATAGGGGAAATAGAACAAGAATAGGACAATAATGGGGAAAAATATGACATAATTACCTCAAAATATTTCTTTATAAATATTTTATATGCAAGGCACAACTTCTTTAAAATTGAATCAAAGAGGTAAGGGTGTGGGCAAGACACATCAATTTGTGAAAAGTGCTGCTTTGCTATTTATCTTATGTATAATTCTTTATAATTCACAGTACATATTTACATGTATTGAAAAATCACAATTGTTTTTACTGCATATCAACCACACACAAGCACATTGTCTTATTAATGTATTTTTAAAATTAATCAGATGCTCCTGCAAATCATTTTGAATAAAAACTATTTGTTAATTTTTCCCAAAATATAAATACTAAGTAATTCATGTATACTAAGGTTTGATGTAGAATCCCAAATTTTGCAACATATATGTAATTGTTCTATGTAGAACTTGCAATGATTTTTGCCAATTTTTAATGTCCTCAAATATACTGTAAAATTTCATAAGTTTTTCGATAACCACTTAAGCTTGCAAAAACTTCAGATTAAAAACAAACATTTTATAAATATTCATGTGACGATTCATTTTTGGACCGTCCAAAAGTTACATTTGATCAAAGTTTATGACGCAAAAAAAAAACATAAAAAAAAAAAAAAAAACATAAAACATAAAAAAACATAAAAAATATAACAAGCATGTTTGTGGCAAGTCCAAATCCTGCATACAATAGTTTTACTAACAGTTCCTACCTTATCTATTTCTTCACCTAATAAGTTTAAAAGCTCACATCCCAATCCAAAATTCCATCAAGATTATGGAATCTTATAAAACTTTTATAGTAAGCAGCACTCTAAGTGCTCACATAAATGACAAGGAGTGACGTGGCAGTCGGTGAACATTAAATGCCCAATCTATTAAGGTCACATTAATAAATAAAAAAAACTGTGTCACTCTAAAACGTATGAGAGCAAAGTGTCCACGAGAAGTTCAATTACCTGAAGTAAACTAATAGCTTGTAAAGTTAGCAATGGACTGAAGTCCTCTTTAGCTAGGCCTACAAATCAAAGTGAAACAAGGCACTTTCCCGTGTGAACGAGACCTACTTTCCTGTGTGAACGAGACACACCCGACGGAACGATCCCTTGGCTATGACGACGAAGACCCACGGACGGAACAGTTCGTTGTTGACCTCAACGAAGCTTCAGGACCAAAACCACGCGTTATCACTATTCACGTTGTTGAGTTCGTAGCTATGGCGCCAAGCCACGTATCCTACAGGCTGTATGGAAGACCCGATTTGTAAGCGCCTTCGAGCTTGTTGCTCGCGCTACCTACTCAGGTCTGGTGGTGCGATCATGGCTAGCGTCAAGTCGTAGCTTGCTCAGCTTATCACGAGAAACTCCAATTGTAATGCAGTTCCTTATCGTTGTGTGTATCGAGTGTGTTGTTTTTAATGATAGTTATGGTTATTGGTGTCCAAGCCTCCACACGTGAGAAGGTTTCTCGAGTGCTATTGTTTGTTGTGGACTTTCGCGGTTTCTATCAGCTACAGAGTGCATTCCAAGCTTTGTCGCAACTCAACTACATGTCGCGCGAACGATCAAGGGGTGGAGGATTTCTCGGTGCAAACAGGAAAAAGTAGTAGTAGGAATTATCAACAATGCCCTCGTTTCCTTTGAGAAGAGCGCTTCCGGGCTCGACACAACGAAGCAAGAGCAGAAATTGTTATCGTTATGTGCTCATTGTTTGCGCCATTGTTGTGGTGTCGATTGCCGGGCCTTCATACTTTCTGACTACGAAGGGAGACAGCAATTTTGCCATCTGTAAGCTCTCTCGCATTGCAGCACTTTGGATTAGGTTTGTGGTATTCGTCAGGTTTTTTTTCTTAGGAATTCAACTCGGAACTCCTTCAGTGATCACTTTGCATCATCGCTAACAGCGTGCGATTTATGCGAGGAACTGTAAGTAAATAATTAAACTTAAGCTCAAAGCAAACTATGATGATTTGATTGAATCTCTTCTCCCTCTGAGCACTCATTGTATTTATTTCGATCGTGCTCTTGATGTTGTTGACGATTTAGGTCATGCATTTAGGGTCCACATTACCTTGTGTGAAAAAATGAGCTTACGTATCAAGACATTTGTGAACGTCCTTACTAAAAAGTTGAACAACAAACATAGCATGTTCTGACTCTTCATACTGCTGTAATGCTTGAGTTAACTGCATCGGTTTTAAAGAGTTGTATTAAAGTGATTTTCTGACGTCCCTCACGCAGAAAGTGTTTATCTTAAGTTTGATCGCTGAAATGACTTATCTAATGCTTCTATTCGTTTGGAAACTTTGTGCAGGGCAAACGCACTCTGCATATGAAGCATCGAATGCAGTATGTCATCATCCCACTGCAATTCATATTCAGTGTCCTTGTTAGCCTCTATCACTCTTTATTCTTTTTGCTATGAATCAAGGGATAGGGGTATGTCACACACGTCTTATTTGTTATTTTGTTTTGATTATATTGATTATTGTGTAAATATTTATTTATTTATTTATGACTGGTTAAACGTGTTTGCAGTTTCTTCAAGAAGAAAATGTGAGGCGCATTGCCTTGGAGCAAGTAGGAAAACTCTTCCCCCAGGAGGTAGACCCCTTTCTTTGTTCTTCTCCTACGGCTTTGGCAATTGGAGGTCCCTTGTTTGATCCCTATTTGTGATTTTGTTTATTTATTTATCGTGTGACTTTGACATTCTGAAGTTTGTGCTCGAATTATGTATTCGTTTTCTGAACGACGAGAGTCCTTTGGTTCTTAACATAAAGCTTTCAAAGCTACCCATATTATCGTACTGTAGTACCTACGACAGAAGGAAACTATGTATAGTTTCTTGCTGTAATTGCTCTAGGTCGATTTTCTATGACCGCATAAGCACTAACGTGATGGAGCATTCTTATTTTCACAAGGTACGAGACCTCTTGAATGCAAATTATGAACAGCATGGGTCCTTGAATCTGAACGTTGCTGGCCGAAATGACTTGTCTTCGTCTTGGGTACGGGAACGTGCTCTTGACATGAGTAGGAGAAATCCTGAAGTGCGAGGTGTTGAGGATAGGAAACTAGAGCAAGCTTCTGAAATTAATGAGGGCGAAGAAATCGGCGGGAGGAATGTCAAAAGCATTATAGGATCAAAAGGACATCATGAAGAGATGGAGCCTGCACAAAGGCATCAGAGAAAAGTAGGATGTGAAACAAGAAATTTCAAATTCTCGAGTTTGACAGGTGCAGAATCCCAACTCGAGGAGTCAGTTTCAAAGGATGAAGCTTTTTCGGGTTTTGAGACAGGATGCTCAGAAGAAGACTTTACGACAGGTAAGATAAATGAGATACGGCAATATTTTTGATTTCAGAGATGCAAGATACATGATGATCGTACTGCGATATCGCCTTTAGAGCTTTCACCTCTGATGTTACAACGATGCAATGTGCAATTTTTGAGCGAGCAGAGACTTTTTGCATGAAGATTAACAACAATAATTTAGATTGCGTTACTCACGCATGCGTTCTGTGTTTCTAATAGGTGGAACTATTCAGCAAGTCACACAGATAGAAAACGACTCTACCGCTAAAATTGCAAGAAAGGTGAACCTCGATCTCAGGTTTTCATCTCTTTCTAGTCGATTTTACAGCTTTAAGTAGCAAGTGCGAGTTGTTAGTATTTTTATAAATTGAACGCTCTGTGGTTGCCAGAGCACAAGCGATTATCCAATCGCAGCCGGTGGTAGATTAAAGTAGTGCAGATTTTGGTAGTTAACTTGTTTCGCTCATCAATCTCTATGTATTTGAATTTGAGTCTACTCTCATCTGAACCGGATTTGCTAAACCTGTCCTTAAGTGTCTTTTTTTACATATACTTGCGAGACCTCTACCGCGACTGCTGATCATTGCCGATTAATTTTACAGGAGCGCCGAGAGCAGCGATTTGAAAGTAGAGTGATAGACCTTATTCAACGGGATGAGGAGCAATCTATGAGACTGGAAGCTGAGGCGATTAGAAGGTCGAAAGATGGTGGGATCACGGGATTACACAGCGTGTGGAGACCAGTAGAAATATCTGCTAATTCTGACAACACTGTGCGAGTCATGCGTGATCAGCTGATTATGGCACGAGCTTACGCAAACCTTGCCTCAATCTATAATAATACTCGACTCGCTCATGAGCTGAAGGCTCGCATCAAAGAAAACGTCAAACTGCTAGAGGATGTCACAATGGATTCTGAGCTCCCAAAGGGGTGAGCGTGCTAACCGTTCTATTTGAAAATTTTCCTTACGAAACCTATTCTCGAGGCCTGTAGCAATAGTTTTAATCTGGCATATTCCTCAATTCATCACTTCTCCAAAGATCCTGTCCTCAGATCCGTGGTTATTTTTGTATCATCCGTATGGCGCTTTGATCAGAATCAATATAGCTAACATTCCTTCAATAAAGCAACTAAGTTTATTTAGCTGGTGGTTTAATGAGTTCCTATCCTGAGCAACAGCTAGTTCTTCTGATGCAGAGTGGAAGAAAAGATGAAGGCAATGGGTCAGCTTTTATCTCGAGCGAAGAATATCAAGACTGATGATAAAGCGCTAATCAAGAAGCTGAGAGCCATGCTACAGACATCAGAGGATCAGCTTAGTAATTTTAAGAAGCAGAGCAACTTCTTGAGCCAGCTGGCTGCAAAAACTGTGCCGAAGGGTCTTCATTGCCTGTCGATGCGACTGACTGTGAAATACAATGATCTCAGTCCTGACGAACGTCAGTTTCCGAACGTGCAAAATCTCGAAGATAATACTTTATATCATTACGCCCTCTTTTCCGACAATGTCCTTGCAACTGCTGTGGTTGTGAACTCAACTGTTACAAACGCGAAGGTATGTGTGCTATTTTACTATTCCAGAGGATGCATAATTAACATATATCAGTCGTGACTTATTAATTTAAAAGAAGAATATATTGATCAAGCATCAAAAACTCAAGATTTCTCAGTTAATTCTCTCATCGTCGTTGAAAACCTTTCGGATTATAATGTATGTATCAATAAGAAGCTGCGTACCAAATTCTAGCATTAGTGCTGTATTTTCTTGTGACCCCAACATTCTGAAATGCCTCGACTTGAGTCATTGGTGCACCAGGAACCAGAAAAACATGTAATTCATGTAGTTACAGACACTCTCAATTATGGAGCGATGAGAATGTGGTTTCTTGGCAACCCTCCGGGCAACGCCACCATTGAGGTTCAGAATGTGGATGACTTTAAGTGGTTAAACTCTTCGTACTGCCCGGTTTTGAAGCAACTGGAGATGGACTCCATGAAAGCCTACTTCTTCAAGTCTGGGAAGGAAAGGATATCCGCCAATTTAAAGTACAGGAATCCAAAATATCTGTCCATGCTTAACCACCTGAGGTTCTATCTACCTGAAGTTTTTCCCAACCTGGACAAAATTCTATTTCTGGACGATGATGTTGTCGTCAAGAAGGATCTTACGCCGCTCTGGTCGGTCAGTCTTGAAGGAAAAGTTAATGGGGCAGTTGAAACTTGTGGGAAAAGTTTTCATCGTTTCGACAAATACTTGAATTTCTCAAACCCACACATAGCAAGAAACTTTGATCCCCATGCCTGTGGCTGGGCGTACGGCATGAACATCTTCGATCTGAAGGAGTGGAAGAAACGTCATATCACAGCCATTTACCATAAATGGCAAACTCTGGTGAAATTTCTCTCCTCATCATTGACTATCAATTTGTATTAACTTCCAATTTTCCTTATAGGAAGATTACAGAGAATTATTCATTACTGGCTAATTACATTCATCTTGACTAGCGTGAACTTTTCCTTCGTCTCACCATAGAATCGTTGGCTTAAGTGTGGTAATGTTTGATTTGTGTTTTCATTGATTTATTCATTCTGAAGGAATGATATGTTACATAGCCAGTATGTAGGCAATCTTCAATTTCTCGCTTGAGTAAATTCAAATTCCCACAAACTTGTGAATTCAGCATGTCCAATGACCATGAGCGACATTATCATGTCTCACAAAGGACAACCTGAATTGTCTGACGGATTTACATGTGTCTTCGCACCATGCAGAATGCAAACAGAACATTGTGGAAGCTGGGAACATTGCCTCCTGGGTTGGCAACATTCTACAAGTTGTCCCATCCACTTGACAAGTCATGGCATGTTTTAGGTCTCGGATACAACCCTAATATAGACAAGTCTTTGATTGAAGGTGCTGCGGTGGTTCACTATAACGGTAATATGAAGCCTTGGTTGGAAATCGGCATATCGAAATTCAAGCGACACTGGGCTCAGTATGTCAAGTATGACCACCTTTGGCTGCAGCAGTGTAACATTAATGAATGAAAATGACGTCATGATCACACTATATTCGGACACTCTGGCACGTTGAGCAAGAATGGTTGCCTACATCAAATGGATTTACAGGGGAACGTCATGTGCCTGATTATGGGCGATCCTAATGCAAATGGATCTATCTGCGAAGTCATGATGTAAAGAAGGACGCTGGAATAATGCTCTGTACTATTTCCTGAGAATCTTCTTGATGGTTGAATTGTCAGCCTCAAGTTTTTGGAGCTTTACTCTTACTGTCTAGAAGGCGTTTGAACATACTCTCAACCTTTTTCACGCAAGTACTTTTTTGATCTTCCAGTGACGTGAAACGTATTGAGCAAACAGAGCTCAAGCAACCGTAAAAGATCCAAGCTGGTCCGGCTATGGTAAACATCCTGTAGGAAGCAACGGCGTACGTAAAGGAATAAAAACGAAAAATGTAGAAGGGTTATCCCTTTCACACATAGCAAGGCGTATCATATTCTTTCAGAGCTTTAGAAAGGTGGATCAATGTTGAATACGATAGTTTTACATAGACGTTATGACTTAACCCAGGAAGGTGAATGTGCTAGTGTTGTCGCATGCTAATTTTAGATATCGCCACCATCCCGTAGTCGTTTTTGTCTGTCAATCATCTGATATCGTGTCTTTCTGTAGTTTGAGAAGCTGAAGAATATCGTGTATGAAGTACGGAGCAGCTTCGAACACAACCTCAGGTGTCAATTGACGATCAAAAGGTCAACTGAGACCAGACAATGTGTGTAGCCCATCTCTTCGACTACAATTTTCTACTGACCATATCCAGAATGAGAAGAAATATAGGTAGAACCAGCTAATTCCTGCAGAGATAGTGTTGCTTTAACACTTCCCATTGTCAACGTGTGACCTCCTAGCTTGTCTCGGTCACGGCCTCAATTTTTAGGAGTAAATTGCTTTGAAATTTTGAATTCGATTTCTTTTATTCTCTAATCATTCGATTTGGAATCAGTAAGGGCGATTTCAACTCCTGTTTCTCCCGTCGTCTACAGCTGTTTCCATCCTCGAGGCTGGCGACTGTAGCCCGATTAATATAATTCCAATCTACTTTGTTATCGAGCCCGTAGATAAACGGGTTTTGTCTGTACATTTCTCTCTCAACTTTAACCAGGTCTCGCATTTGAAGTTCTCGTGTAACATACCCGGCTAGTAGACCCTGATCGGTTGCATACAGCTAGTGCATTGGGAGATCTGCTTCGGGTGAAGGCCGTGAATATTTGCTTGCACGTTGCTGCTGTGACTACAAATCATTGCTCTGGTTCGCTCTACGAGACCATGTTGGCCTTAGTGGAGGCGCAAGTTTTACTGCTGGATCATCACCGCATGGCACTGCACCATAGGAACAGCCTTTGTCTTCAGGGTGGGGGGCTCGGAACAATTCCATTGAGGAGCTTCCTCTTGGTACAAGTTTCGCAGATTCACCAAAAACTGCAGAATTCTAAAATCCCACCAAGCTCCTCTGCGACCGACAGCCTATCAAGCCCGGCTCATTTGAAAGGTTTGAGCTTAATTTTACAGAGACTATCCTAACTACTTGGTTTGAATGAAGAATTTGTTGCTGCAGCTATACAATGAGACATAGTTGTTGAATTGAAACAAGAGACCCCCAAATTACTCCGAGTGTTCGCAGTTTGTGGGTATTTCATTTTGACCAGATTCGAGTTGGAGCCTGTTCCAAAAACTTGCGCGTTGTTGTTCGCCTCACTGAAAATTGGGTTTTAGCCACTGCCTGCAAGTTTAGAGTGAAGCCATCGTGGAGTCTCCAAGAGTGTTATGTGAAGTCTGTTTACATAACCTCATTTGGTGTTGTGTGTTCGTTGGATGATTTCTCCAAGCAGCAGATGAAGTCTGCTGACTTCGTTGAATTGGTTGGTAGAAAGCACTTCACCAACCGCATTCTCATCTACCATGGGTTGTTCTTTAAGGATTGGATTTACTAAGTCTTTTGACCACCAACTTTGTTGTTTGGTTAGTTAGATTAGTTGTGTTGAAAAAGAAAAAGAAAAAATGGGAGGAGGGGAAGAAGTACCCAAGGCACTACATATAGTTGATCCTTTATTATATTATATGATCCTCCATTATTCAATCCCCTCTCATACTTGATAAAAAATTTGTCTATCAATTTTGGTTCCTATGTTTTAATCAATAACCTCTCTATTCCAATAACTGATACAAGTTTTTGGAGATAGTATATTGGAGAAAAAGAAAAAGAAATGCCACAAAAATTTGGAGATCTAAGATCTATAGAATTAGCTTTTGGTGTATATTTAAGCATCAAATTTCTTTCTAAATCCATCATGTTGTATTATGAGCTATGACATGAAAAGAGTTCAAAAGATCAAGGAGCTTAACAAAATTGTGACATATTACTAGCTTCTCTTTCTTTATCAATTTTGGTTCCATTACTTTATTTTATTCTTCTTCATATCCATTGCATGTCTTATCAATCACCATCTTTATAATCTCTTTATTAGTGAGATCTTCATGTGACATCTCTACCTTAATGGAATTCAAAAGCAATAGAATCAGTATTGAATTTTTGATGATTAAGTTTTTAATAAGAGTGACAAACTTTTGATTTTGCATGTTTGCAAATTGTCTTATTGATTAGTTTGGTTACCTTAAAGCAATTGTTGATGATATTGGAAGGAATGTTTATCCATGTGACATTGCACCAATGCATGGTAGTTAGTTAACAAATCTTATAGATGCCATCTTTGTCTTGTTCATTGCAATCTATTGCGTCTTATAACTCAAAGCATTCATTCCACCTTTTGAAAGTTGCAACTTTAATCATGCATCCATTAATTGAATATTTGAGATAGTATTTGATTGTAGAAATATTACTTTGACATTAGATATTTTTACATCGTCAATAATATGAAACCTCACTATTCCACACTATACCACACTATTGGTATTAGAGAATCTAGTTTGTTAATGCTTTGTCTAATTGAAGATGCATGGATAAACATTGATCCTTTGCAATAAGATTTATTTTGTTGAATTCTACTACGATAATTTTTTTACAAAGAATGTTGGTAATAGTGCTTTAGAATAACATACTTTTTAGCTCAAACATCCTTTTAACCTATGCAATAAGTGTTGCATGATATATGCTCAGATCTTCTTTTTTCTTCTAGTATATTGCCAAACTTTGAGAATTAACAAGAATTTTCTTTATAGTTGGATTTAGAAGTTGCAACATAAGAGTTTTTGTGCTTGTGTTGTATGCTTTTTTTTTGCATTGTTATATTTTTACATAACTATATGGTGAAAGAAAAAAATATAGAGTCTATTATAGAAGAGTCTAATTAAAAGATATAATAGCAAAACATTAGTAAAAGATAGGAAGATAATAAAAACTTTTAATATTAAGGTTGTCTATTTATAAAAAGACTTCTACTTACTTTGTACAACCAAAAAATAAGAAAAATAAAATAGATTAAAAAAACATATAATACAAATATATATAGAAGAGAATTAAGAGTAGTTTGTAACAAAAATTACATTAAGAAACCAAGAATTGATACTTGGAGAGGACTGGTTGTAAATTAAGATAAAAATTAGATCCTAACGTACAAAAAAATATATATTTATAGTTTTTTGGAGTTTTTTTGTTACTTAAAGAATAAGATTAGAAAAAAATATTGATAAGATTTTTTTAGCATTGGCTTTAAGTGATTTGAACAAGTATTAAATTATTGAGAGCTTTTCAAAAGAAGAGATATTTTTAGTGATTTCGGATTTTGAAAAATTATAAGAGGCATACATATTTGAGGAATTTGTGAGTATTATAGAATATATACAAGTGAAATTTTGTTTATTTATTAATTTTCTTGTCTTAAATGTGTTTTGTAAATTTGAGGTCAATTAAATAGTTAGAATAAAAGATATAGGAATTTAATGGGATTATGATCCTGGAAATTTGAATTTTAGAGTTAGTGAGATTTTTCAAAATGTTGAAAAATTTGCTAGTTCAATTGGAGCAAAATTTTGTAAAGAAATAGTAGACTTAAGCATCTACATTTTTGATAATTTAGAGAGCAATTGAATGGTTCCACAAGGATTAATAGATGGTAGAAGATCAACATCTATATTGAAGAAGGATGTCAATCAATACCTGAGAATATTAAGAGTTTTTTTTTTTTTTTTTTTTTTTTTTTATTGTGCTGGTTTTTCTCTTAAAGATTGAAAAATAAAAAATAAAAAATAAAAATTTAATCAAAATAAATTATTCAATTAATAGTTATTAAATTTTTAAAATATCTATTGGAATTTAGTTAGGATTTATTTAGGATTCGTTTAGAATTTATTAAGATTTGGTTGGAATTTTATTAAAATTTATTTCTTATTTATTTAGAATTTATATTTTTATTAGATTTTAATTTTTTATTGATAATTTAATTATGATTTTTAAAAAATAAAATCAAAATTAGGATTTCTAAGATTTAATTGAAGTTTATCTAAAATTCTATTAGAGTTGTTATGATCTTTGTTATTGCTATTTCGAATTTATCCTCTACAACCAAGCGCTTGATGCATTTTCAAGTAAGACAACCCCTTATTTGACAATATTTGCAAGATCATGGAAGCTTTCCATTGTTGGACCTTTTTCCATTTCATATGCAATCAATCATTTCCTTACAACAATTGGATACTTAAAGAGTTTTTTTTTTTTTTTTTTTTTTTTTTTTTTTTCTCTAAAGATTGATACTCTCTAATATGTAATATTTTTGTGGTCCACCAATTGTATTGGATAATAGATGGTCAACTATAATAATGTATTATAATAAAAAAATTTAAAAAATTTTGAATTATTAATTGATTTAGACTAATTTCTATCCAACTTAAATTATAGCTATAGATTTTTCTTTTTGGTCCAAACTACTAGATATACATTAAGTTTATGAATAGAATATTTTTTTATCAATTTTATAAAATATAATATTAAAAATATTAATCATTGATAAATATATATTTATATTATATTTAAAATTACTGATAATATATATATAATAATAAAATATAAAATAATAAAAGATTTATTTAATTATATATATAAATAAAAATAATCACAATTTGATTTGGCTTAGTTTGACTCAATCTACTATCAAATCAAACCTAATTAAATCAAATTGTGGAATTCCAAATCAAATTAAATCATATCTAATCAAATAAAATAGATAATTTATTATATTAAAAAATAAAAATAATTTTAATTTCAATCCATGCCATGAATTATATCATTGTATCAAATTTATCTTGATTTTTTTATCTAATAATAATCAATCTTTCTCATAGGTTAACAATAGAATAATATCATCTTGTACAATTTATTTATTGAGTTAATTAAGTTGAATCATTGCAAGCTTTATAAATTTGCTACATATAAATCAATTAGAATTTAATTTTAAATCATTGAAAAAGCTTGAACCAAGAGCAACAAAAAAATAATCTTTAATTGGTATATTGGTGCAATAAAAATGTTTTAATTTTAAAATATATATTTTATTTTTTTACTATTTTTATTCTTATACTAATATAATCTATTAGAATTTTGAATAATAGATTAATAATGTAATCTATTATAGTTTTGAATAAGAATATGTACATTTTGTAGAAATTAATTCATCAAGTAATAACATATTTTTTTTATTTACTTGATAGATTTTTTATAATAATAATGATGTAAGTCTTTATTTATCAAGGACATGAATCTTGAAAGAAAATCTTCAACATACTCTTGTATCATTGAACAAAACTAGAAAGTCACTCAAATGGTGATGTGATATTAAACTAAAATAGCTATTGCTAAAAACAAGAAGACTAGAAAGTCTTAAAACAAGTCTAAGGATTAGATAGGCTTTGACAAGAGTGAATAAGGCTTCATTCTTGCCTCTATATATACTCTCTGACTAAGAGCTACATGACAATATTCTATGGGACCTCCAACATGTGTTGACTTTGCTAGCCACATGTCTTAACTTGTAAGGCAAGTCATCTATGTAGGTGCCACATATTTAACTTGTTCTACAAGGTACTACATAGAATTAACTTATTCTACAAGCTACCAACACGTGGTTA